GGCAGGTCTCAAGGGGCACACTATGGGGCCCCGGGTGCTCTCTCCTGGGGGGTCTTCCAGACACAACTGGGTCTCTTATTTTCATACCACCACCTGCAGAGTGTGACCCACATGAGGAGAGGTGTTTCTTTCCAATCTCCAAATTAGTGGGGGACTCTGGGCCCCTGGGTGTGGGGGCATCTGCTGGGAAGCAGGGAGAGCAGGTGCGCCATTCAGTCTGGCCCCTGTGGGCCTCTGCTCATGTCCAGGAAGGCTGTGCCTTAGCCCACCTGACCCTGTCTGCAAACCATCTGGGAGACAAGGCTGTCAGAGAACTGTGCAGGTAACACCCTTGCCCTGCTGCCTGCTGGCCTAGGGGTCTGATCTCATGGCTCAGGACCCCAGGGGAGCTGGGCTACAGGAGAAGGGCCACAGAAATGGTACCAGCTCCTCCTTCCCAGTGCACCCCAAGACCTGGCTCCTTCGGCTTCCACGAGCCTCTCAGGCTGCCCTGGAAGGCACGCTACCCTCAGGCTTCTTAGCCTGGGCCTGTAGCTCTTGAGAGTGCCTCTGGGTGTGTCTTTCCTAGTCACTCCTGTGCATCAGCCCACACAAGGGCCGCTGCTCTTATGATCTGGAGCCTCAGTCAGCTTTGGGGTGTCGAGAGGAGCCCAAGCTGGGCCAGGCACATGCAGAACTGGCCACTGCGGCCCTGACCCCGGGGCCACCATGGGACTCACCAACCCTAAAGAAGCACCTGCTGTTGTGCCAGGGTGGGGCAGAATCCCTGGGCCTGGTCCAAGGCTCCCTGAGTCTGGGCAGCTTTCCTAGTGTAGGGGCACGGCCTCTCTGGAAGCCAACCTTTGCGTTTCTTCCCATGTTATCTCAGATGTCTCTCTCTGTGCCCCTCACTCATCTCGCTGGATCTGTCTGCCAACCCTGAGATCAGCTGTGCCAGTCTGGAAGAGCTCCTGTCTGCCCTCCAGAAACGCCCCCAAGGCCTTAGCTTCCTTAGCTTGTCAGGTGAGGGCATGCCATATTCAGCCTTTTCAGGGACCCACTGAGTCACAGGAGCCTCCTCCTAAGGGGCTGCCACTGCTACCAGCCAAGCAGCAAGGCTGGGCTCCATGAGGCTGAGGCAGCAGGGGGCAAAGTGACAGTGAGAGAAAGGGGAAGTGGGCATGAGCTCAGCTCCTAAAACCATGGGGTGGAGGACGAGGTGGGTCTCTACCTCTGGTCTCTCCAACCCAATCTTCAGAGCAGACTATGGCAGGCAAGACCCCCTTCCACAAGGACTTTCTCATTCTCCGTGGCAAGAAGAGGGAGCCCAAGGTCAGAGTGTTGAAAGCTGCCACCAAGGGACCCTCCCACTTCCTGGCAGGTGCTTCTCTGACCATAATCCTGCCCAGTCTGTGGCCGGATTTAGCTTGCTCTCTTGAGCCAGCCACATCAGGGCAGTCCCCAACCTGAGCTGTGTGGAGGACAACCCCAGGAGAGAGGTGCTTTGATGACCTGGCCAACCAGCAGTCTGGCATAGCCAGCTGGGGCCAGGGCAGGCCCTGCCTTCCAGGGGATGAGGGCTGGAAGTGGGAGTACACAAGGGGCGCTCTGCGTTCTTCCTGCACGCCCCCCTTGACCTCCAGGGCCAGGCTGCCTTTTCCCGGAAGGCACCCAAGTGCTGGTGGGAGACCTGCATTCCACTAGGGCTGCTCCCCACACCTCGGTTCCTGGCTCTGTGCCTTCCCACCTGGCTCCCTGAATTACTGAGCTTAGTGTCCTCTTCAGCCACTCAAGTCTACGATGTACAGATTTGCAAGCAGCCCCATATGCCCTCCTTATGGGTGGGAAACTGAGGTGTAGGCATGGACTTTTGAGATCGAGCACTGTCAGAGGGAGAAAAGGGAGCCACCCTTCCTCCGGCCTGACCGCTGGCTGTGCAGAAGAGCCCACTCCTTCCTGGTGTCCTGAGGCCTCCTGGGCTCTGCACACTGCCCCTCGCTGCAGCACTGGGGCTCTCTGGGAAAGCGAGTTTGTTCCCGGGGGCCTGCCGTGGGCACCGGGACGCCGCTGGCCCCCGCAGCGCTGACTCCTGCCCTGTGACCCTCCGCAGGCTGCGCCATGCAGGGCCCCTTGGGCCTGGGCCTGTGGGACAAGGTCGCCGGGCAGCTCCGGGAGCTGCAGCTGTGCAGCAGACGCCTCTGCGCGGAGGACCGGGACGCCCTGAGTCAGCTGCGGCCCAGCCGGCCGAGCCCTGGCGAGTGCACGCTGAACCACGGTTCCAAGCTCTTCTTCCGGCGCCTGTGACCGCCGCCTGTCCCCACCCCCACCGAAGCCCCTAATAAATGAAGCTGCTGTCTCCATCTCCATGGCTGCTTGGCAGGTGGGTGGGCGGGGTGAGACCACACTTCGCGTCTACTGCGCGGGTTCGATCCCGGGGCGGCGCGGCTGGGGGCGTGGCCGGAAGCCCGGCTGGGCGCAGGCGTAAGGGCTGAGCGCCGAGCTGCCGATGGGGGCGGTCGCCCCGACGCGCGCAGGCGCAGACGAGAGGGACGAGCGCCGAGCCGCTGATCGAGAGCGCCCCTCCCCCGGCGCCATCTCCCGGACCGCGAGCTGTCCAGGTACCGGGGCCCGGCCGGGGGGCGGGGAAGGTGCCGGATGGGGAGAGGCGACCCCGGGCCGCGGTTGAGCGAGCGCCGCAAAAGTCACGTTATTGGCACGTTCTAGAAACTGGGTTTCCTTGCTCGTTGTCCAGGCTGAGGTGGTTTTGCGCCTTCGCCGGTGGCCGCGGGTGTCCGCGCTCGCTGCGGGTTGGGGCGCTCGGCCCCTCGGCCCGCTCCTGCCCGGCGGCCCCGCGATGGCAGCCGAGCCTCTGCCCACCCCGCGGCTCTTCTGCGGTCGGGGCCACCCAGGGCGTCGGCGCGGGCCGCCTTCCCTCCGCCTGCCCTCCTCCCAGCCACGCCCAGGGAGCCGGCGCCGCTGCGCGCCCGGGCCTCCGCCGGGAGCTGCCTCCCCTGCCGGGCGTCGGAACCCTGCGCCCGCCCGCCTGCCCCTCCTCCCTTCTGCGTTTGAGTTTACCTTACTGTCCCGACCTGTTGGGGTCGTTCTAACGCCTTTATTATTTTTATTATTATTTTTTTTTGAGACGGAGTTTCGCTCTTGTTACCCAGGCTGGAGTGCAATGGCGCGATCTCGGCTCACCGCAACCTCCGCCTCCTGGGTTCAGGCAATTCTCCTGCCTCAGCCTCCTGAGTAGCTGGGACTACAGGCACGCGCCACCATGCCCAGCTAATTTTTTTGTAGTTTTAGTAGAGACGGGGTTTCACCATGTTGACCAGGATGGTCTTGATCTCTTGACCTCGTGATCCACCCGCCTCGGCCTCCCAAAGTGCTGGGATTACATGCGTGAGCCACTGCGCCCGGCTAACGCTTTTATTTTAACCCTGCCTCAAATCCCTCGGCGGATCTGACGGTTCCACTTACAAAGAGAGAACGTCTGGAGCTAGCCCAGCTTTTGTACTGGGCAGGAGCCTGCCTCTGGCTCTGCTTCCATTCTTTCTCCACAGCCCGCTGCCACCTAGGAGCCCCAAGGAGAATAAGACCCAGCTCCCTATCTTCAGTCTTCCTGCCCTAGGACCCCTCACTTGAGAAGCTCCACCCCTCAGCTTGTCTGTTCCTCCAAGTTCATGCCTCCTTACAAGCTAGTTGTTAAGTGTGTTGTTTCCTGTGCCCAAAACCCCCCTCCCGGGCCATCTAACAGCTGCCTGCCTCCTTCATCACCTGCCTCAGCCTGCAGCTTGGACCACATTCCAAGGCAGTCCCCATCCCGCAGTCCTGAGTGACGGTGACCGCAGCACCTCACTTTGTCGTGGCAGCCCCGGTAGCACCCTGACAACTATTGAGCTCGGGAGTGCTCTTCATGACGCCCTGGGTCTCCAGGACCTGGCACTTACGGGCTTTTCTTGTTGTTTTTCATTTGTTTTGAGACAGGGTCTTGATCTGTCACCCAGGCTGGAGTGCAGTGGCGTAATCTTGGCTCATTGCAACCTTCACCTCCTGGATTCTAGCAATTCTGCCTCAGCCTCCCAGGTAGCTCGGACTACAGGCATGTGCCACCACACCTGGCTAATTTTGTATTTTTAGTCGGGACAGGTTTTCACCATGTTGGCCTGGCTGGTCTCAAACTCCTGATCTCAGGTGATCTACCCACCTTGGCCTCCCAAAGTGCTGGGATTATAGGCATGAGCCACCGTGCCTATTTTGAGTGCATCTTTGAGTCAGCCCTGGTTCTGCTCCCCAGGTCTTGTTGCAAAATATTCAGGAGACTGGAGAGACCAATGGGTGAAACAGGAGGATTTAAGGTGGCCACTAGCTCACGGATTAGCATGCTAAGACTGAGCCCTAACAAAGACAGGGCTGGATTTTTCTTTTTTTTTTTTTTTTTTTTTTTTGTTTGAGACGGAGTTTCACTCATGTTACCCAGGCTGGAGTGCAATGGCGCGATCTCGGCTCACCGCAACCTCCGCCTCCTGGGTTCAGGCAATTCTCCTGCCTCAGCCTCCTGAGTAGCTGGGATTACAGGCACGCACCACCATGCCCAGCTAATTTTTTTGTATTTTTATTAGAGACGGGGTTTCACCATGTTGACCAGGATGGTCTCGATCTCTTGACCTCGTGATCCACCCGCCTCGGCCTCCCAAAGTGCTGGGATTACAGGCTTGAGCCACTGTGCCCGGCCCTAGAGCTGGATTTTTCATACATCCAGGATGACGTAGCAGTTAACAGGTTTAAAGAACAGTTCGTTAATTTGTAACATGTTTTGTGTTGTACCTTACACTTGAAAATAGCATTTTGAGAAACACATTGCACATTCTTTGGGTGTTATCTTGCCCTGTGACCTTGCAGCTGGTCTGCAAGAAAAATGGGAGTCTTGAGATGCGTAGGAACTTTGCTGAGAATGTTGGGAGAATAGATAAGGTAGGTTTTATAGAGAGAAAGTCAATTTCAAGCAGAACTGGGGGTTAGGTTTTATGTTGAACGTAACATAGTAAACTTTATTATGCAGGAATTACAGGCTACCATTAGTATTATTTAATTTCCTTTTTCAGATTCAGTGCTGTCGCCCCTCCAGAACCTAGAGGATGTTTCATGGGATCCCAGCCACTCCGGGCATAGGAGGTGAGTGTGACCAGAGCTGGGCTTAGAAACTGGAAGGGCCCAGGCTTTCAGCCCCTCCTGGAGGGGCTGACAGGCAGTATTGGACTTCAGAGGTCAGGGTGGGGGATGTCTGTAAGTCTACCCTGACCCTGCTCCCAAACAGCCTTGTGGGTGGCCAGGGGTGGGTGCAGTTCATCACAAGAGCACTGAGGGCCCTGAAACCTCCTCCAGGGAGAGCTGGCTTGATCCTGCTGGGCAGAGATGATGAGCTTTGGTGTGGCTAGAACCATGGGGGTCCTGGGCACCCTGTGTCACCAAGCCCAGGGGAGAGGCTGTGTGCGGTGAGCCTTGTTGGCACTGCGTCATAGGCCACGAGCAGGGTGTGGCCATTGTTGTAAAGGTGGCACAGCTAGGGAGCCACAGTGGAGCTGGGGAGCCAGGCCTGGCATGCGGCCCCCGGCCTCCCAGAGGCATCTTCAGGTCCCTCCACACACTGATGGGGGTGAGGTTGGACCCTGTGCTCA